CAACACAAAAAAACTCTGTTAGAACATATTAAGTGTTGTAATAAGGACTGAAACTTAAATAATCTTTGTTTCTTGTAAGCAAATTACACTTGAAAACGTCATATTGATTAAACTCTTGAGAAGTAAAGTTTTTCTTATACTATAGTTTAAACCTCGTGAATATCAATAATGCTCCTTAAAAGATTTGTAACTTAGATAGATAGATTTTTTTATACACATAAACAAAAAAACAGTAACATATAATAAATACAATTTATGCATTAAAACAACAAAAAGGACAAACACAGAAATATGTAAGGCATTACAATAAAAGCTCGTAAAGCGTTGCATATGTGCGCTGTGGTGATAAAAAGGCCGTAACTCAGCTTAATTGCTGCTCAATTAGAGCAACGTACACAACTGTTAGTACTGTTTGTGTCCACATAGTAAATAATAACAGAATAATTAGATTGATGTTTGCGTTAGGTTAATACGAGTTACAAAAATAAAATAATGATGGAAGGTAGCAATACCATAGACTCAAAGTACTTCGGAATACCAAGTTTTTGTTTGCGTATAAACATAGTAACTTTGTGAAGACGACTGCCAAGAACAGCTGCTAATTTTATTCCTCATATTAATGTTATGTCTGTCACTATTTTTCATAAAAAATACTATTCGTCTTATAGAACAGTAATAAACATCATTGCTTAGTTGCAGAAGTAGGTAAGGTAGCTTCTTTCCCCAGAGGAACTCTTTCAAGATGAAGCAGCGGTTTTTCCTTTGCAATTTCTATTTGAGTACCTATAGTAAAAGTTATTTGGTTTCGTATACTGTGAACATGCTTTTAAATTAATGTCAGCTAGATTAAGGTATTTGTATAGTTCTATATTTGACATAATATGAATGAATCAATTTGAAAGAAATCTTTACATGTTATCATATACAGAGCGTCTCTCGACTGTACCAGAACTGATATCGAAAATACGTTACCCAAAGGGTAAAACGACATCATCAATAAGAAATATAAAAATGTTAACGTTCAACTTCTATATTACATTCGTAGAGAGGCCTTTGTTTTAGTTTCGAACAACTGTTGCTTTGTTAACAAAAATCAACGACGTGCTGGTCATGGACTTTGCTAGTATAATTTTACGTTTTAGTCTATGCCTAGTTATTAATATTTTTTTATATATTTTTGTATCTGGAATAAAGCAATTGCAAAACAATGTATTTTAGGATAGATGCAAGAACACAACACGATGAGCATTGGTAACGTTCTTGTACCTACGTTGCATTTTAAGCTTGCTGGTTTCAATCAAGCCCTCGCGTCAAGCAACAACTACGCAGCCTTGCATAACAAATAACTATATATTTATTATTATTACTTTATTCACGCGCAAAATAGGCGCCTTGACGTCGAATGACACCAGCTTTTACACCAAGTACCAAGTACTTTATTCCAAGTAATTTAGTTATCTGTAAACTTTAAAGTAGGATAACTAAAATCTCTTTTTACGAATGGCATTTCATAAAGAATTAAATTTTGGATATTTCTAGTTTTTTTTAAATGTATGTATTTTGTCAGTTGCCCAAAAACGTAGCCACTGCTTGAAATGTTATTTTTGATTTAAGAAAAATTGTAAATTTATATAAACATGGGGCGGCGCGAAGATATCTACAAAATTGACTGATTTAAAGGTAGTTTTTTTAGATAGAAAATTCTAGAAAATCTAAATTCTTAGGGTTACGCGCCACCCCAATGTGGATGTTATGTAGTACTACATAGTTGAAATTATGTAAAGGTTGATTCTGATAAGTCTGCAAGATGTTTAAAGAATGATATATTCCTGTATGAAATCGTTAAAAATAATGTGTAAAATTTTATAATACCAAACGACCGGACGAGCAAGCAACCTTGTAAGACACGCCCGTCCATGACACTTGCAGTGTCACTCAGTGCCTTAAATCGCAAAGATCTTAGTGGCACTGCCGCGGCGCCCGTCATGCTGAAACATAAGTTGACAAGTCCCATGTGCCTGTAATTTCACCAGCACCCTTACCCTTCAAAACCGAAACGCGGTAATGCTAACATTACTGCTTGGCGGCAGAAATAGGTAAGGTGGCAGTACTTCCCTGGACGAACTATGTCATAAGGAGGTCTACTGGTACTGAATTATTTTTTATACATGAAAATAGCATCCAAATATAAAATAATTATGTACTTTAGTATCATGATTTTAAGGTCAGGCCACACAGACGCGGTACAGCGGGAAAAGCGTACCAGGGCGTGCGACAGCGGAGCGAAAGCGGTTGGTGTAACACCAAAAGCAGCCACGCTTTCTTTTTCTAATTAGATTTCCAGAAAAAAATCTGCTTTTATTGAGAGAGAGCAGAGGAAAAATTCCTAATCTTCGATTTGATTTTTGAGGGGTATATCCACTTTAAAGTTAAAAATAAAATATTGTATGAGTAACTACACGATATATTCAAGCATAGACACTAATCAGAAACATAAAACAATAAAGTTTCCTCGATAGATAAAAAGCACGAAATTACCTCTAAATTTTCACATTTTTTCGATTTATCCTCGAAATGATACAGGTTATTAGGACAAAAATTAGATAATTATATTTACGCATGATCGACAACTGTCACTACGGATTTTTTTTTAATTCCTTTAGTTTTAGAGTTATTCCGCTAAAACGAATTTGGTACTTTTAATGCGCAAAATTCAACATCTCCTGTCGCATGTCACGCGAACTTCAGGCATACATTTGTTTCACAAATTTGGGCGGAGCCACCGTCAAAACCTTTTTGGCATGAGAGCTCTAAAGTTACGCAACAGAAATTTCGATCAAATTCACAAATACAGTCAAAGAGTTTAAAAAAAAACCGTGCCCCACCAATACCGTCTCTGTTGGCCAGAGAATTGTAAAAAAAATGTGGTTACACTACCTTTGCGCTGTAGCCTTAATTATAAATTAATGTATGGAACAACTCATAGTAAAAATATCATTGATTGGTAAAATTCTCCGTTAATAATCCGCAGGCTTTTAAGGGTCACCCAGTAAAACTATATTAAAATCGAGTATATAACCAGAAATAGAGACGAAATAAGGACCATCCGTCTCTGGTAACTCACCAGGCGAATGAACCTTATATCACTTTTAAATATCAACTCTCGTTTGGGCTGAAATCACAAATTAGAAAGCTGAAATAGTACAGCGCCGACAACTGACCTGTATGTACGTCTTCGTATATTCCAAAAATATTCCGTATTTATTGTAATAAAGACTTTCTAACAATGGGCGGCTGTTACATTTGGTTGTGTGGGAAAAACAGCCATTCATATAGCAATTAATTACAAAACAAACGGAATCTCATTTCATCGGTAATTAAATACGTAATTTTGCAATTTTCGTCCATTATAGCAAATCCCAAATTAAACTGGTGGATTTCAAGGGAAACAAATGACGACACCCGTCAATTCGTATTCGGGCTGGCCAATCGGAGCGCAGTTGTCACCGTAATGATGTGGCAGAAGTTTTCAAATTAAATGACATTTCGTGTCTATTTCTGGTTATATACTCGATGACTAAAAATAACGTATTATAATTTTAAAGTTATAATCTAAATAATAATAAGTGAAAAGCTCGTCATTAGAAAATCGACTTAGTGCGCTGAAAAACAATCGTTGCCTATTGCCCCACCGGCAAGAGCCTAGCTCTTATGGCGCCTTCAAATTAGACGCTTATATAAGCGCTACAGTGGCACCAATAATTAGTGAACTAAAAATTACTGAAGTGGCACAGACGCATTACTGCAGCGCTTCTAATTTGAAAGCGTCATTAAATAAGAAGTTGTAAATGTTATTTCTTTGATTGATGTACAAAAAGAAAATACGTATTCTATAGATTATGTATTTAGTTTCTAGTCGATAAGTTTGCTTTAATATATTGTAGAAAGCTATAGATAATAAACTGAGTGTGTGTTCCATAAATTGTTTTTGTTATTAACAAAACTCAAGCTTGTCTATTCTTCACAAAACGGAGTCCCTTTGAGGTGACTTCGACTTTTCGTGATGTATCCATACCGATAGCCGATCGTCTCCAGCTACTTGGAATGGATCTGTCGTCCAATCCATCCATGGCCAAAAATGCAGGCATCCTTTCCAGGGTGAGGCGTTGCTTTACACCGGGACAGTTGCTCCAGCTGTACCAAGGACCAGTCCCGACGTGCATGGAGTACTACTGCCACCTTTGCGATGGGTCTCCTACATACCAACTGGTCACTTTGGATTCAATCAACAACCGTGTCAAGTATAGGTGACTCAGATCCTTGAACGCCACCATAAAGTTGCCTCCTTAGCAATATTCTACAGGATATATCAAGGAGTGTGCGATGGAATTACGCGAATTAATTCGGTCTTCCCCTTTCCATCATCGGGGTATCTGACGTAGGCTTGGGTACCACCACTATGTTGTGGATATTCCAAAGATTCGCACGAAGTTTCCACATTTATATGGGGAACGGCTATGGAGTGGAATTCCCTGTCTGCAGACTTGTTCCCTGAACGTTATAACTTGAACCTTTTCAAGGCGAGAGTGAATAGGCATTATTTAGGTATGCATGCTCAGTCGTCGACCTCTTCTTCACTTTCCATCAGTTGAGATGGAGGTCAAATGCGCACTTACATTTCTTTAAAAAAAATGTGTAACTAACTGTCGTTTGGTCCAGCCATCCTAACGGACACTCAAAATCAGTTCACAAATACAATGCTAAATAATAAAAAAATCGATCGAATTGATACCGTTCTTTTTTTTAAGTCGGTTAAAAATAGCTATTTGGTTTTGGTACTCGTTGCGTCTGGTGTACCAAGAGATACTAAATACGCTGTCTTGTATCGCGATGTCTTCTGTCACTTAGGTATAACAGAAATGTCAGGTAGGTTCTATATTTTATTATTTATATTGTTACAACAAAAAACTTAGAATGTATTGCTCAAATTGTTTATTGCATCAATCAACATGTTGATTCTTCAACTGGGCGCGTTGCAGTCGACGTCTCGCGCGCCGCTTCTCGCCGTGTGCGCCGTATTTATGCTTCGATAGATGGCGTTGGGATTTGAATAGAAGTGAGCATTTGTCGCACTAAATAAGAAAAGCGGTTTTAAAATGGTTATTAAAATTCAATCTTTATCTCATAGGTAAACAAATTACATTTCAAATCTTCATACTGATTAAACTCTACCGCTCATTCGTAAGGCAGATTCCCCTGAGAAGAATGAGCAAGAAAACTCTAGGTTGCTCTTTGTCAATATACATTTAATACACTTATCAAATATCTATTGATCGAGACAACCTGAGAAAGCCAGACGTGTTAGCCGCCTCCGTGGCCGAACGGTTACCTTGCCGGGCTGCCACGCAGAGGTCCCAGGTTCGATTCCCGGACCGGAAGAAATATTTGTATGGCCCACATTTATTTCTCTCGTGAGTTTGGGTGTAATTTGTGATTGTCTATGTGTGTGTCCAAGACACCCGCAATACAGGGTTTCCCTACATTATTGTAGTTGCCACCTTACCATGTTCAAATCTTGAAGGGAAAATCACAAGGGGCTTGTCGACTTGACGGGAAATTACAGACACAAGGGGCTTGTCGACTTACGTCTCTGGGTGATTGGAGCAGTGGCAAAGCCCAACAAATCTTTGCGATTTAAAGCTCTGAGCGGCACTGCAACTGTTATGGACAGGCGTGTCGCTTACCACCAGGCGCACGACTTGTTCGTCCCGTCACTTGGTACAATAAAAAAGATCTGAGAAGCACTGACATTGCACACATCACTCTGGGACATATTAAATTGACCAGTCCCATGTGCATGTAAGTTCACCAGCACACTTACCCTTCAAAACCGGAACGAACATATTAACTGCTTGACGGCAGAAATAGGTGAGGAGGCAGTACTTTCCTGGACGAGCTCTTTTACAAGCTGCTCTACTAGTTTTAGAAAAGTGCGGATCGTATAAGAATATACCTGTATAGATGCTACAGTTCTGTGGCATTCAATGTGCTGTATCAGACATTTTCTACTGAAGTAAGCTGCAGCACAAACATCACATATATAAGGACGTTCTCCCGTATGCATTCGGCGCTCGTGGACCTGTAACCCGGTGGTCAATTGTAAGTTTCCTTAAAAATTTGTGGAATTACATCTATTTGCCAAGTTTTATTGAAATTGGTTAACCGAAAGTGGGTGATATTTAATGAACATTACGTTTATACTCGTAACATTGAGTATATAACCAGAAATAGAGACGAAATGTAGTTTAATTTGTTTGAAAACTATTCTGCCAAATCATTACGGTGTCAACTGTGATTTAAATAAATAAATAAATAATAATAATAACGTTTGTTTTCTCTTCTACACACAGGCCACCAGGTTCCCACATCTCACAAGTTATTTACACAAGATATTTTTAACACTGCTTGTACCAACGAGAAATATTGTAATGTCGCTTCACAATCTACAGATTCAAACATAGTAATGAGTTGAATCTTGCAAATTAGAATCTCAAAAAGAATAAAAGCTTTGTACCATTTACAGTCCTATGAAATTTAATTTCTTGAGTCCATGATTATTATACCCATCGACTGGTAACACATTAGCGATACAGCTCTTATAAATATCAATTCTCGTTTGCACTGAAATATAGACAGGCCAACTACTGACCTGTGTGTACGTCTCCGTATATTCCAAAAAATATTCTGTGTTTATTGTTGTGTAATAAAGATAATATCTCTAACAATGCCGTGCTGTTCTATTCGGTGGTGTGCGAAAAACAGCAAAACATCTAATTACAAAACAAACGGAATCACATTTCATCGGTAATTAAATATTAAATATGTAATTTTGCAATTACCGTCCATTACAGCAAAGCTCAAGTTAACTGGTCGATTTGAAGTGAAACAGTTGACGACACCCGTCAATTGTTTCGAACTCGGGCTGGCCAATCGGAGCGCAGTTGTCACAGTAATGATAAGGCAGAATAGTTTTCAAACAAACTAAATGACATTTCGTCTCTATTTCTGGTTATATACTTCATGATTATACCACTGTAAACATTTTAAGTATTAATAATAATATAATAAGTGTTGTACTCAACAGGTCAGCGGTGCCAAAACCGCGAATTGGATTGAACAACATGCATAATAAATAATTATGATTGGCCCGCCTGAATTCGAAACAATTGACGAGTGTCGTCAATTGTTTCACTTCAAATCGACCAGATTAACTTGAGCTTTGCTATAATGGATGAACATAAGGCCTCGGAAGAAATTGGGGGCGTTGATGCTGTATAGGGGTGCTACCGCATTTTTTATGTCAAGTTAATATAAAAATTATTAGTTTTCAACATTGACTTACAAATAAATGGACGACGGGTCTAATACAAAAACCACGACAAAAATGTCCCAAGTCAGCCTATTTAAACGTAGTGACATGTAAAGGAATATGAAAAAGCTAAAACGTTGAATTTAAATTGTAATGTCATCGCAGTACTGTCTAATTTTGCTTGCTTCGCTGTCAGTCGAACAAACGAAGACTAAAGCGTGAATGACGCTCTGTATACGATTTTAACGCCCCATAAGTTCGGACACGACGCGATTTTTAGCGCGGACCCGACGTCCATATAATTGTAAGTCAATGGTTTTCAATCCTTTTTTGTGGTGGACGTTGACATTTTTTATTTTGCCTAATTTTGGGAACATATCAGTTAGTGTTTATCCACTCACCATCAACTGAGCGTTGTCAAGAGCGAGGTAACTGCAGTGCCTGCACTTAATATCTCGCGCCATCCCATGGTAGGAGCGACAGTGTCGCTTCAGCTGGTTTAAAGATATGAAACTTTTGCCGCAGTACTGAAAATAAATTTTAACGAAATTTTATTTAAAAACGGATGTTGGTTTGTGGTTGTTGTGAATGTTATCTCTTGGAACGGCTTATCCTCTCTATTACAATAGGGTAATAAAACCATTAACACGTATTTTACTTAAATTGTACATGGGCTTACTTCTTGGTTCATCGTATCTGTCGTGCGTTAAATGCTTTTTCTGAATTCTAGTTTTGAATTGCTTCTTTACTCTTCAGGCCGTTTTTTAAACCGATTTCGTAAAATATCGACTGCCGATGCTATTCTTACTAATTCAACAAATTTGTGAAATTACTCCACTAGTTTATTATAATTGTTAATACAAAGATCTAAGGTGTGCTAGAAGACGTGTCGGTTGGAATCCGGCCGGATCGAAGGAATTTTTTCTGAGTGTTCGATCTTTGTATAACAAACTAGTGGCAAAAAATAATTGAATATCAATTCAATAAATATTTAATTACAAATAGCGACACTAGCCAGTGCTGGTAGCTGTAAAGGTATCTAACTAGGTGACGAAATACTTTCGTAGATTTCTCATAGATGGCGCTACAACAAAAAACCGTGGAAAACCAAATACAAAGATTCAACAAGCACACAGAAAAATTCGTGAGGTCCGGTGGTTCGTTCTGTGGTTTAGTTGGCTTACCTAGCGAACCGTGCCAGAGGCCTGACACGGTTTGCTAGGAGACGTCGGTTCGGATCGAAGGAATTTTTTCTAAGTATTCGATCTTTGTATTTATAATTCCAATAAAGTTAGTTCCATATAAAGATTATCAAGTTTAATGCCAATGCGTAAAAGCATGTAAACTAATTGTTTGTACTATACAGATGACACGTGAGTTACCGAGACGGGTCATAAGAAGAATCGGTGCATATAATATTTCACCTATAACCCACAAATAAAAATGATCAAATCATGGCACAGTCAGTGGCGGATTTGCCCTAAGGCCCAGTAGGTCCGGGCCTAGGGCGACCAGATTTTAGGGGGGCCAATCGTGACAAAAAATTCACTGATGACAACAAGAAATACATATTATAATAAATAAGTGATAAATCTGTCATAGATTTGTCATAGATGGCGCTACGACTAAAAAGTCGTTGAAAGACCAAGTACAAAGACACGACGCAAGCACATAGAAAAATTCGTGAGGTCCGTTGGTTCGTTCCGTGGCTTAGTTGGTACAGCGTCTGGCAAGGTATGCAAGAAGACGGTGTCGGTTCGAATCCGACCGGATCGAAGGAATTTTTTCTGAGTGTTTTTTCTGAGTGTTCGATCTTTGTATGAATAATTATAAGAAATACATAACTCAAAGTACCTGAATATTCTAAAGGCTCACGCACATTATGGTGGGCCGCACTGCACCGCACCATATAACAATATTCTGCCTAAATCAAATAGTAAATTTGTAAATCGATATCAATAACAGTTGGCAATAAAGTAAATTCATTATGTAATCTACCAGTATATGATAAGTGCTGAGAAAGGGGCGGCTGGTATTGACTAAATGGCCTGGGGCATAGGGCGGTCAAGACTGGCAAATGCGCCACTGGGCACACTTTCAATTCGTTATTTAACACTCACTCGGAACTTTCATTATAATGTGTAATCTGTGGGTCAACTTTACCCAGAAGACAATCAACGCCCTGCGCGTTCAGTACAACAACGCGTTCAGGGTTTTATTGGGTTTGCCACGGTACTGCAGCGCATCAGGCATGTTCGCGGATGGTTTCCATGCTATCCTTAGAAAGAGAGCTGCCTCATTAATAAGTCGTATCCGTTGCGGCACGAATGAGATTCTGCGCGTTGTGGCTGGTAGAGTGGATTGCCCGATCATGCTACATTGCATGAAACTGCATTTAAAACCATGTCGATGATGTATTTGATATTTAAATTAATTTGTTTAATTATTCTATGTTTTTTAAGTTGCCTTTTGTTTATTTTAATGTGTGTAAACATATTGAATTATCTAATCTAATATTATAACTGTAAAATATAGACTGTAGTTGTCTGAGAATAAATGATTTTTGATTTTGATTTGATTATCAAAAATGCCCCACTATTGGGCACTCTTATATCCCCTAAGATATTTTCCTTAACCAGTTAAAGATTTTTGTTAGTTTGTTGATAAATTGACTTACCTCACATATGTATTTAAATCCTAAATGCTTTTTCGCGTGATTTATAAAGCAAGCCCATTTGCTTACAGTTTTTTTGCAAACTTTACATTTTACCGGTTTTTTAGGATCGTACTTTCCCTCCACTAAATCCAAATATGTTTGTCGTTTTTCTTTTTTAATACTTCTGATAGGCTGTATATTGTTTTCTTTTGCTAAGCTCGTTGTTTCTACGCCATCTTGCGATAGGCCGCCATCTTCCGAAATTCTATCTAATTCGACTTCAATTTTAAATCCGCCGAAATCAAAATAATCTTGAGAATTTTCATTAATATTATCAATATTTTCATTAATTTGTTTGTCGGTTTCGATAATTTTATCAATATTTCCTTTATTTCTTCTTTTATAACCCATTTTTAATAGTTTTATTTCTGTACGGTGACTCTGGTTTCGTAGTTGTAATGATGAGTTAACTTGATTGACGCATGTGGTGCATATTTTTTGTGGAAGACCATCGTCGAGTTCTATCTGGGAAATGACAGGAACAAGGTAAAAATAATCTCAGTACAGAGTACTAAAAAACCGACCTCAAAAGTACGTGGAATTACATACAATTACCAAGTTTTATTGGAATCGGTTACCGGTAAGTGCACAAACCCGGGTTCATCCCCTAGCTCGGCACTATACGGGACTTGACACAGGAGATAATAAAAATCGGTTCTCACTACTAAAAAAAGAACATACAGCCGAATTGAGAACCTCCTCCTTTTTTTGAAGTCGGTTAAAAATAAACAGGGCACTGGCAACACCACGGCAACGCTGTTGTGTACCTTGTTATTTTGTATCACAATCGCGGATAATGGCATCCACGCAATGGAATCAAATCTGCTGCTGTTATAAAACTATTGTTGTTGACAATAACCATTAACCCAAAACGAAATGGCTGTCGGCACCACTGGTATTTACATTGGTTGATATTAACTGCCTGTCGATATCGAATATTAAAATCGACATTATTCCAGTTGCAAAAAGCATAAAATCGTAATTTCAAATATGTGACTTATAACAATAGATGACAGTAAAATATAAAAAGAGAAAGAGAACTTTAGGTTGTGTACTGAAAGATTATAATCGTAAGTTTTTCAAATCGTAGCATCGTCCAATGATTTGATTGGCGCCATTTCTCTCTCATTGCCTATTGGCTATTGCACACTTGTTTTGTTGCGCAACAGCAAAATAGCAGTATAACAACAGCAGTTTAAAAGATGGTTGTTCGTTAATGAGTTATAGGGGAAAGTCTGTTAATTTGGACCTTTCTTTTTAAATACATATTTTTTACTATCTCTCTTGCATGAAATGAATGAATAATTATTAGACTTTGTAAATATAAAGCATTAATTGACATGAATTATTATAGACATCTATAATATCGACAAAATGTGAGATCTGAGCTTTGTTCCAATTTAGCCGACTGGTTCTGTAATTTGGACCACGGGGTCGCTAAATTGAACTTCAAGAGGCTCTGAGGTAAAACAAAAAATTACAATGAAACATAATAATATAAAAATTAGTCTAGGTAGCAAACCTACTACTAAAAAAATAAGTTCTTCACATAAGACAATTATCGCAAATGTCACTATTTTGAGTACATGGTCTCTGATTCCGATTATGGAACCTCACACACTGTGGCCAATAAAATTGGGAGCTCTTAAAATCATGGTAATTTCTATTGCATTAAGCACATTCTCTGCATCGCTATCTGAATCGTCGAAGACCATTTTAACACCCATACATTTCACACTCTTGGTCCATTTTAACCAACAGTATGATTATATTATAAAAACAAATAAAATATAGCCTATAAATGCCGGCAACCGTTTCATGTAAGTTGTCACGCCAAGTCAGTGTCAGGAATTCATTCATAACAGTTCTTAGTTCATGAACTGCTCAATCGCCAAAATATTATTGTAATTTATTCCATAGGTAAAATAAATTTACACTTGAAAACATCATTTTTAAGCTACTGCTCAATCACCATGCTGTCTTCCCTTAGAAGAACGAGCATGAAACTCTATGGATTGCTCTTTTTAAATAAACTTAAATGCTATGGAATACGCTTTGAATCAAATTTGTATGGAATTTAGAGCCATGTCGTCTTTCCATACATCTTTATCTAACACGTAGTATTTAATTTTGTAAACTCTATCTAAGTAATAAAAATACTGTACAAATTTTTGTTCAATTAGTGAATAAAGATTTGAAAATACTAAATGTTACATTAAACATTAAAACGCGTAAATCAATTTACATTTTTCGTAATCAGATAACAAAAACTTAACCCATCAGAGTATAATAACCTTAGTTTGAGGTTACTTACCTTCAGGCCCGTTGTCAAGGCCAAAACAAGGCTATATCTCTCACACTCTGCCGTATTTACAAATATACAATTCAAATTGTTACTGTTTAAACATAATCTGCATTTATCCATTTTGCAATTACAAGAACAAACACAAATACGTTTTCTAAAATCCGAGTATAGTTCTTTTGGCAGTATAAGGGTGATAATTTAAAATGTCGACAATTGAAATGAAATTTCGTACAAGGAGTTGTGTCTTAAATTTGGCTGCATTATAACAATGACGTTTTTATTTCTTTTCTGTTGCGTTTCGTTATTGCTTCTATTCTGTTTCTATGATATGTTAATAGATGGCGCTAACTTTATATTATTAGTTCGCATTTGCTGGAGTAATTTACTAAATAAAATATCAATAATTTAGTATCGAGTATTGTATATTAGAGGATATTTTTTATTGTTATGAGCCGGAGCCTCATCTTGAAGTACGAATATTGATAATAAAATTAGAATTCTTTTTCATAAATTACATTTAGTAGCTCCCTGGGAAAGAGCTCGTCCAGGGAAATACTGCCATAGTAATGGGCGATAGTTGATCAAATATCGATTGTGAATTGAATAGTTAATAATCTACTAGGTAAATATAAATATCGCAATAATAATAGGATCGATTGGTACGAAGTAAGTAGTAGGATCGACTTTTTTTTTTACATTCCGTAGTACAGATGACCTTTTTTAGACACCGAAAATTTAATTAAAAATTATTAAATTAGTAACTATTTCGAATTATTTTTCGGTGAAGACGACTAAATAGAAAATCGAATGTCGGATAGTGCAACTATCGATTTATTGGATATTTTTTTTAGTAACAATCGCCCATCGCTATATTATGTAAGAATTAAAGCGTTCCAGTTTTTAAGGGCTGGTGAAATTAGTTACAGGCACATGGGACTTGGCAGTGTCCTTCAAACTGCAACTGATATAGACAGGCGTGTCGCTCAACACCAGTCGCACGACTTGTTCGTCTTGTCACTTGATATTCATTCATTAGCAGATATAAGTTGATTATTATGTGTATTTATTTGATTCTCTTTTTGTTATTTTGTTTGTTTTGTTTACTAATTTAGTAACGCGCACACTCTCATAGCCCCGCATTAGGGAAACCCTGTGTCGCGGAAGCAACAGACACACACATAGACAACCATAAATCACACCGAAACTCACGAGAAAAATAAATGTAGGCCATACAAATATTTCTCCCGGCCTGGGAATCGAACCCTGGGCCTCTGCGTGGCAATCCGGCAAAGTTAGTTAGTTATTTAGTATTCAAATTAAAAGTACTTACTTAACCTCTTGTTAAAACAAACATTTGAATATTAAGTAACATTTTATAAAAGAAAGGGTATCCAATAGTTATATTCAAATCAGCTATGTATGTTCAAAACGAACAAGTAGCTGACGTTTTAACTAAACCTGTATCTACTCAAGTGTTTAAAAAGGCTAGGGAGTTTTTTTAATAGCTGCTAAGATTTCTTATCAATTATTTGTTAAGGTCTTTAGAAATAGTTTAAATGTTAAGTTATATAAATAAGCTTCCCTTTTGTGTTTAAAATGTACTCTTATTGAGGGGGGCTGCTGGAATTTCAATAAAAGTAGTTTGGTTTCTAAATAGACAATAGTGCTGTAGCTGTATCATCAATATCCATCCGCAACGCTCGTGCACTGGCAAACACTAACTGAATTTTCGCTCGCGCTTCCTATTTAAGGTAGGCGTCTACAGATCCGTAGCACACGCATCGGACGGATCACATTATTCGGATTTTAATACTATTTGTATAGAAGTTCATACAACTGCGTCAATTCATCCGCATCGCATGGAACGCGCCGGTCTGTCGGAAATGCCGACGCAGTTGCTCGGAGGGGCAACTTTTCCGATGCGTGCCGACGACGACGTCAAAGTCAAAGTCAAAGATTATTTATTCCATAGGTAAAATAAATTTACATCTGAAAACGTCACATTTAGGCTACTGCTCGTTCACTACGAAGACACTCCCTGAGAAGAACGAGCAAGAAACTCTAGGGATTGCTCTTTTCAAATAAACTTAAATGCTACGGAATACACTTTGAATCAAATTTGTGTGGATTCTCGAGCCGTGTCGTCTTTCCATACATCTTTATCTAACACGTAGTCTTCAATTTTGGAATATGATATTTCGATCAAAATATTTTTAATGTAGTTTTTAAACTTAGGAAATAATAAACTTAATATATGCTCCGGAATCTTATTGTAAAAACGTAGGTATACAGTTCCCCATAAAAGAGTTGTTTACCTTGGTTAAACGAAATCGTGGTACCATGAGTTTGGACTTAGCTCTAAGGTTAATATTATGGATGTCTTCTTTCTTATTGAAATTATGTATATTTTTACGGGCATATAAAATATTCGAGTAAATGTACTGTGATGCCACAGTCATGATACCAGTCTCCTCAAACTTTTCTCTGAGAGAAACCCGAGAGCCTAGACGGTACACAGAACGAATCGCTCGTTTTTGCAATACAAATATGGTTTGAATATCTGCGCTAACGTCATACGGATTGCGTTTCTGTGGACGTAACCCGCGCGCTGACGGTCATTTGCTATTTGTCAAGAAGAGTAGTAAATTTAACATGAGACATTCGAAAATACTGGAAGAATGTTACGTCGTCGTTTAGCAAATTAGGAAATAGCATAGGATATTCTCCATGTTGCGATCTCTTCTTAATTAGGTCCTGTATCCAGATCTGCCGTCCGTTAACTATAACGCGGCTATCCATTGACTTACAAATAAATGAACGACGGGTCTAATACAAAAACCACGAAAAAAATGTCCCAAGTCAACCTATTTAAACGTAGTGACATGTCAAGGAATATGAAAAAGCTAAAACGTTGAATTTAAATTGTAATGTCATCGCAGTATCGCGCTGTCAGTCGAACAAATGAAGACTAAAGCGGAGTTTGACGCTCTGTATACGATTTTAACGCCTTACAAGTTCGGACACTTTTTAGCGCGGACCCGACGTCCATATAATTCAAGGCGGCATGTAAGTCAATGCGGCTATCACAAAAAACCCATAACTCAGTTTTAGAATATTGAAATTATTTAATGATATTTCAGGTATGCATCGTTAGGGTAAGTTCCGATGCATGCGGGACCGGTGGAAAGAGGGCTTGGCGGATCCCCCCTATGGCGCTCGTACCATAGAGGCGATCCGCCCTGTCCTCGTAGAGTGGGTAAACCGGTCCCACGGGCCACTGTCGTACCACCTTGTGCAGGTGCTGACCGGGCACGGCTGCTTCGGTCACTACCTGCACAAGGTGGCGAGGAGGGAACCGTCCCCGTCGTGCCACGAGTGCGGCGCTGCGGATGACACCGCGCAGCACACCCTAGAGGTATGCAGCCGGTGGGATGAGCAGCGCCGCACTCTGACGGGGACTGTAGGGCAGGACCTCTCGCTGCCGAGCGTGGTTGCCGCCATGCTCGATAGCGAGGAGTCCTGGGAGGCGGTGGCCTCCTTTTGCGCAGAGGTTATGTCGCAAAAGGAGGCCGCGGAGCGGGTGCGCGAGGACGCGGCGGACGCGCACCCGCTCCGGCGCAGACGTACGGGGAGAAGGCGAAGGCAGTTCGCTGCTCGCCTGATCCCCTAGTGAGACCAGCGGGCTCTGGACAGGGACTCCGGAGCCTACATTGCACGGCCTCACTCGTCTGGGGCGCGGGTCGGAGGACAACCGACTCGCCCCTCCGTTGGCGCGGGAGCCCTGGCGTAAGCTAGGGTGGCCGGGCGGCGTCGTGGTGAATGTTCACTGATCCCACGGCGCCGCGCGCCGACTCAACCGGCGAGAGGGAAACCCGGGGGGTTTTAGTGGGGTAGGCCCTCCATTCTGGAGGGAGAGTCCCCACATAACCCCTGAGTCTCCCTGGGCTCAGGGGTATCCATAAAAATTTCACCCCCGTAAAAAAAAAAAAAAAAAAAAAAAGGTAAGTTCCGATAAGTCGAATCTTGTGCTCAATTTTTTGCTATTTAAAACGGTTATTTGACCGTTGGTCACGACATGTTTCCTTTTTTTTTCTCTTCTTTCTTCTTCTGCCAACAAACAAACTACTACGACAAATTGTTTTTCATCACTTTCCAAATCCATTGTCTCGCACACACAAGTTACACTCGTCCGGTCGCTACGAAAAGTGGTGTCGGTAATCCGATTGCTGCGGATACAGAGGACGCACTGCCACAAACGGAGCCGTTTGTTGCGATCCGTCAGCGATGCGTGCGGTTCTGTGGACCGCAGCCGCCGTAAAAGTAACTAGTTACTAGCTTAGAGATTAAGAAATGTACTTCTATAAGGATTTTACAATAGACAATAACCTGACTCGAGTTTTACTACTTCAA